TGAAATTGTTTCTTTATTTTCCTATATATGAGTCAAGCTTTATATCTATATAAGATACATATGTACATCTAGAGAAACATTTGTTTTGTAAATTAAAAGTTATGGATCCTCATTTATGTTCTCTCTCTGTGTTGATCAGTATGTCATGGGGGACCCTAAAAAATTTTTAACAGCAAGGTAAACTCCCTAAGGAACCAACTATAAATAATAAAATATATTAGTTTTTTGTTTGGAGATCCCCCATTTGTGTATCCATTATTTACTTTGCTGAGCAATGAATTTAAAGTATAAATAACACTACATAATAGAATCTATATGCAAGTTATTTGTATCTCTTGTTACTTTATTTGAACATCCTCCATGCCACTATGAAAAATACACAGAGAGAAAGAGAAAGAAAAAACTTGTAATAAATATGTATATGCATTTTATATGTATTATTTGACAACATCTATATGTTCAAATATAATCTATTTTATTAGAAATAAATGGTCTAAAAAAGTTTTTTCTAAAAAATACTTTATTTGTTACACATATACAATCTTGTAAAATAACTTGTAACACTTAATATTTTTCCGGTTGAGAAAAATGTGTCCACTGGGGACACAAACAGAAACGTGATTCGCCTTAAATGTGCTTCATGTGTTACTAATTGAACTAATTACGAATTCATATATTTAGAAGAGAGAACTAAAGAACCCTCACTGAACAACGCCCTTCTGATGAAGCCCCGGTGTGGGAAGGGGTGAAACGCGTCATAGGCGTTCAGTGAAGGTTCTCTACTTGTGGCTGCTTCGGCTGAGGCCCCCTTGTTACTGGCCTTTTTAAACATTCATTTAAGAGCCTGTGGAATCTGGTATATAAGCAAGAACTTGCTTACCTAGAATCTCCTGTAGAAAAAGGAAGAGAATAAGGAGATCTACATCCCAGCAAAGGCTTATATTCAGGACGAACAGCCAAGCCGAGATGGTGCTATCGCCTGAAACCTGCACGGCATAGCTTTTCAGTGAAGGCTTATATTCAATACGAACAGAAAAGCCGAGATAGTGCTATCTCCTGAAATCTACATAGCTATCATCAAGCTTTCGCTATACATTTGACGGCAACTTTTTCTTCAAGCTTTTTGGACTTTTAACCAAAGGATTGATGACACCAAGTTACTCTGCACCTTTTCAGGACAAAGCCGTTGGGCTTTTGGATTCATAACGCATTTCTTGTCCGACAACAACCTTGGAAGAAAAATAAATCCCACAGAACGAATACGGGCATTCAGTGAAGGCAATGATCTACTAAACCAACCTACAAAGCCGAGATACGGCTGTATCTCCTGAATTTCCTGTTTTATCGTTGACAGATGCAATCACAATAGTGGGAATATCACCTTTCATCCCCAAAAACCGGTCTCCTAAATGAGGATGTATTCCACCGTGAGTTGAATGCCATTCTTTAATCCTATGGACTTATTTTGTTTTTTCTGCCTTCATACATATGTATGGTATTTTTTCACAGAGCTCGTTTGCTGTTTTTTTCTTCCCTCCCTAAAAAACATGGGTAACTCTTCCCATTCATGTGGAAATTCTTGAAACAAGCCAAAATATATACATATGCATATTCTTGATACCAGTTTGCCTTTTTTTATCTGAGAAATATAAGGCATTCACACGGGGTACCTCTAAACTGTTTTTCCATCATATATTGTTCCTAAATTATTAGCGGAATGCAGCCACATATATATGTGTGTGTTTTTTGATTGAATAGTCTGGATATATTTTGTTATACATTTCTTTTTTTTTTTAAGCATTTCTATAAATAAATATATATTTTTATAAATATTTGTTACACTTTTTTGAAGGAATTTTGGGATCCCCTTCTTTGGGGAATTTTGAATCTTTTCTAATCATAAAACTATACCTTTTACAATATACATTAAAGAAGGACCATAGAGGCCATCAATATTAACTAAGGAAACACAGATAAATAACATAAATAAATAAATCCATCAACTCAATAATCTTGATTGGTATATTGTCATACCTATTAGCTATAGTTCCCATTTTTAAATGACCTTAATGTATATTGTAAAGGTATCGATTTATTGTATTTGATATGAACTGGATTTTTCGGTAACTTGAAGACATCAATATCGTGAGTTAATCGACTCATGAATGTGTCCTACACAGATTGGCCACTATAGGAGATCTTTTTGATCTGTTTTTCACACTAAATCTGTGAACAGTCCTTTCTTATCATGAAGTCATTTTTATAACTGTTTCGGACATTTAAGGGATCCATATTAGAATCACCTCTATCAATATTAGCGGCGTTTTGAATTATGTGCAATACATATGTGTGTCATATGTTTTAAGAGTAAGTATTTTGTTTAATAAATTATATGTTTTATGTATAACAGTATAGTTGCATGATCGACTTTGTGGTGGGATCTCCTTTAATGGGGAAATGTGCTTATTTGAGAATCCATAATGTCCAACTCACCAAGAGGATATTTTAATGTAGTTCATTCAGGCTTAACAGTAGGAATTGTGTGATTCCTTGTCATTCTAAGAGGTGTAGAGACCTTTCTTTCTGGAAGCCTTGTAACATCATGAAAAAGCCTCTTAACATAATGAGGGAGAAGGGAAAAATACTTCGAGAAGGAGAGGCTGGGAGTGTCTAACTAGAAGGTTGTACCAATTTACACAAAACCATAGAGGGGAAATAGTGGGATATACCAAGATACAAAATGCATGGTAAACAGTAATCAAGCAGGCTGCTTGGGTCGCCACATACATACTTATACAGCATATTTCTGATGATTTTCACACCTACTTATGCAGTATATTTCTGATGATTTTCACTTAGTATAGTTTTTTAATTACAGTTCTCTTGAATGTGCACTGTTAATAACATCAGGCAGATTTGCAGGAATTACAATATACACTTTTGTGTACATTATACATAGTTTTGCAGTTACAATGTATTAGGAAGAAGACAAGGGTGTTAAGGTGAAAAAAGTATTTAGTGAAAAGGTATTCTACATTAATTATAACTAGGGATGTACAGATACTTTTTCGAGTACCAGTGCAGATACTTGGCATTTTCATGAGAACTACCAGGGTTGCAGCGGTTGCAGCTGGGACCTGGCTCTGGTGCTCCACCACTGTCCTGAAATCATTAGTCTGTATTGTTTTAGAAAAACTGTCACATGACAATAAACAAAAATGTATCAGTACTCGTACTTGTAAGTACACGGCAAGTACCAGTACTCGTACTCGCAAAACTGGTATCTGTGCATCACTTTATTTATAAAAACAAAATCGTACATTGAAACAGAGATGTACAAATCCCAGGAGCTCCGTGTGCTCCTTACAAATGACAGCTGACTCCTAACTTCTGAATTTTTCTCTAGTCTAGTCTTGGAGCTCAAAAGTATCGGTACATGTACTCGTACTTTTACCGAGTACTGTACTTGGTATCTGTGCAACCCTAATTATAACTGTAACCTAACCTACTGGAGTTGATTTACCAAAGGAGTAGATCTTGTTTTCTTTCAGGGCTTGTTCACACAATATATAGTGCGTTCTAGCATGGTTAGCTGCTGGAATGCATTGTATCGCATCCTGGTGGGCTCCCTGCATTCTGGGGCAGGAGGTGACATGGGGGTGCATTGAAGTCGATGGAACCACAGCAACGCATCCTCCGCCCACTGTGCGATTGCCCGCACCAGAACGCTTGGCACATCAGTGTCTGCGTTGCTGTTCAGTGTGATCCGAAAAAATGCTGCATGCACTATTTTTACCAATCGCAGTGGATTGGTGCTGCTATTAGGTTGTGGTGCTATTGACTTCAATGCACAGCCACGTCCCCTCCAGCCCCAGAATGCAGGGAGCCAACCAGGATGCTAACCACGCTGGAACGCACTGTGTATGGTGTGAACAAGCCCTCAAGGTTAACTTTCTAAAATAATTTTCACTTATCTTAGTGAATGAGAAGATACAAAGTGAAGTTTTAGTTTGAAAAGAATACTCTCAAATACTTTTTTTTTTTTTTAGATTTTCTTTGCACCTGATTGGGTATTCTTTGCAAAGTGAATTTGTTTCAATTCAATAAGTAAGATAGATGAAAATTCCTTTTGAAAGTGAATTCTCTACTCCTTAAGTAATTCAGCGTCTTTGTGTAGCTTTTGATCCTTTACTGTTTTGCCTCTATACCTATCCTGATTTAAAATGAGAATAAACAAACAGCACTTTTCGTAGACACCCTCTATTGGTTTTTATTTGCCATTTAAATAAAATTACTGTTAAAATCATGATATGCAAAAAATTTGCAAAGTTTGCCTTGTTTAAAAGAAACTCCGTAACATCTCTATCTTAAACAGCAATTCCTAACCTCCGAAATATTGATGGAGAAATCAATCCAGAAGTAAAGCCAGTGATGGATCATGATGAATTAGCCAGTTCATATGAACGAAAATTAATAGAGGTAATTCAGTTTCTTTTTTTACCTGTACATATTGTTCTGGAATTTCGCTTAGGCTGAGAGCACAAATTTACGCCGTGCTAAAAAGGTGTACTTTCAGCCTCAAAGTGCGCCAACACAATTAATTCCGTCGTGCTTAAAAGCGCGTGTATTAAGCTCTTTCGTACAAGAACTGGAGGCACTCTGTAAAGTCATGTAGTCAAGACAAGGTGTTGCTTTCAAGCTGGAGTTCTGTGTTCAAGTGTGTTGATAACTAGCTCCGTTTATTTATATATCAACAAAGGTTAATGCCCAGAGGGGAATGGCTTTACAACAGCAGCCAATCAGCCTCAAAATGATAACAGGAAAGGGCGGCGCCAACAGCCTACCATTTCCTCCATGCACAATGACATCACAGGAAGTGACAACAGAAAAGGTGAGCACACCCACATGGATGAGCAGAGCATGACTCATCCTTGCCCCATGTATGCACATCTGCCATTTTGGTCAATACTGCTCAGAGTGACCAGTATCTATTAAGATCATTCTATTTGTTTTTATAGGTTTGAGACTATCTGCGGAGACATTGCTAATGCGGCTATCAATATACGGTACGAGTACACTGGCAAGGCAAATATCAATGTCTTCTTATCAAAGCAGATATGTATCCAAAAGGGATAGCGCAGCCGCAAATGTATCTCTCGTTATGCGGACTTCGCTTTTCGAATGTGTATAGACGTTCGCCGGCATTGGCCCCAGCGCATTGCGCTTGATACTCAACAACCGGCAAACGCCCATACACACCGCAAACACGTCTCTAAGCCCATGAGAAGGTTGAATACTGATGGTTTTTACCGCTGGTCCCGATTAACTCTAGTATGCTCTGCTAGAGCATCCCTCGGTTGATTCCGACACAGGGAGACAAATGACAATATTCACATATACAACATACTAAAAACACATCATAATAAAATTTCCACAACAATCCCTCCTCTTTGTCATATGCTCCCCCGTGTCCCTCGATTAATCTTGATCTTCTTTTGTTAAATTTAAAAAAAAAAAACGGTCCCTCCACGAAAAGTGGTTTGTGCCCTGAATCCATGAAACGCAACAGAAGATTGAAAACAACAGAAAATCAATGTTGATATGCAAATCTTGACACCTAGACTTTTGGCAAAGATAATGAATCTTAAAAGCGAATCTTGACTCGGAGGTTCTGCTCTTCGGGAGGTGACTCAGAGGGAGGACATGAGATGGTGGATCGCGTTGGTCGGTTTGGAATCCTCTGCATCTGGTCCATTCACAGAAAACACCCCTTGGACGCTAAAAGATAATCAAGTGCCATCTTTTCCTTCAGTACCAGAGTCTTCATCTGTCGGTGTCCCTGGGTGATCTCCCTCACTGCCTCAACGGCATTGAACATCTCATCCACTATGGACGAGAAATTGTTCAATCACTTCATATGTCCAATTCCCTGTCCTGTCCAAACAGGGAACCATGCCCAGGCCCGGTCGGAGTTGGAAAATAATTCCCTTCTAGCTCTCTCTGCCCTTCTTACCTTCTTCTGCACCATCAGTTCCTCCCGATCGGCTGCAATGTAAGATGCAGGGACAAGCTTTACCAGGACACATGAACCTCTCGCATTAGGGGAAAATACCTTATAAGCGGCTAACCTGCATAGGAAATAGTAAGTCAACACCGCACAAGAAGAACTTATCTGATGGTCATGGGCCTCCAGTAGTAACTGAATAGACTGGGGGATCGCTCCCTCAGTCTGAACGTCACACCCTTCTTTCCAGAAGATATAATCTGGTCTATGGGTGTTATTAAAGAGATCGGAGGTTACATTAGTAAGGTTGACATTTATACCTTCCTCACAAATGGAGGATCCCACAAACCTATCCCCTTTACCGAAGCTGATGCTGTAACACATCTGCGGGCTGCCGAGCTGCCAGGACACCCATACGGGATTAGCAAGCGAGGCGCAAGAGCCAGAGCTAATATTAAAACTATAACTGATGTTACCATCTAGGAATGTGTTGTTAAGTTATATCGATAAATGTCTCCTTGTGGCCCTTGCTGGGGTGCTTTTTTAACAAAAGATTGGGATGCTTTTTATTGTTTCCCTCTCTAGCTAAACAAATAAATGAAAATTATACTCCTCATTCTTTGACGTAGTTGAGCAACTTCTTGCAGTGACTGGCGTGGACCCAGTTGTCTCGTCCCTCGATCTTCAGAGAGGTTGGCGTTGTCAGCGGCACCTGGAATGGCCCAAGATATCTTGGCTCTTGCCCCGTCCTCGGATGTTTCTTTAGCACGACCCAATCACCTGGTTGACTAGAATGAACACTGGTTATTGAGTCTGGGTCCGGGAGAGACTCCTGAACCCGGTGGTGGACTTAGGGTGATAACCCGTAGGGCTGCCAGGGGGCATTCCTGATGGAATAAAGGGCTAAAGCAAGACATTCAGGCCATGGTTTCCGAGTATCGGCCGTGATTTTTTAGATCATTGCAAAAATCTGACCCAAGTACCATCAAAGAAAAGGCAGTCATGGTGGTTCTTGACTTGATTCCCTACTAGGTTAGAAAATTGATTGAAAGTTGAGAGGTTAGAATGGTTAGTAAAAGTTTGAAAATTGTTGTTTTCTGCACCACTATCAAAAACAGGAAGAAGTGAAGGTGGATTCAACATGGTGCATCGTCTCAAGGTTAGGTTACACTGTTAGGTAGAGAGATGAGAGAGAGGAATGAGAGAGTGGAATGAGAGAGAGAGAGAGAGAGAAAGATGAAAGAGGGGATGAGAGAGATGATAGTGGAGAGCTGGAGAGAGCAAGTAGAGTTAATTGCATTAGAGACAGCAGGAACATCAGAAAAAAACTACAACAGATCCGGTCTATGTGGATCCAGTCTGCCTTAGCAGAGTTAGCCCAGAAATAGCCTCTTCTGCTTCCGACACTGGATCACCAATCGCGGCTATCCCCTCGGGCTAGGTGTACATAATGTGGTTCTTCCGGACTAAAACTGCCCTCTGTATCCCCTGCCGGTTTACCATTATTGACTTCTGAAGCCACAGCTGAGCTACATCTAAAGTCCATGATGCCAGCGGCCTGGGTCTAACTCAGTGATGAGTTTCTCCCACTTCCAGGCACCAAAAGTCCCTTCCAGAGGGATACCCCAAGCGGTACCCTTAGACCCTACTATTCTTTAAGGGGGTTCTATGGCCTTCACGCCAAAACTAGACTTCATGTACTGTGCAGCCGTCTGACTGTGGGAAGCCTCACTTTCCTTCCCCTACATGGACGGCCCATTGCCCATGGCGATTCAAATCGGCTTATTGTCTTACCCCTGCATCCAGAGAAAGCCCTTGCACCAATTTAGCAGAGCACCGTCTGGTGCCTTCTCTCACGGTGGATTGGCGGTCTACAACCACTACCTGGTCTAGTTCCCCAACTAGAAACCCTATCCGAGGCGATGTGTACATTACTTACCCAACACAGTAATGATCACCCCCCCAATTATGTCTCTACCCCTCACAGTGTATGCATACACAAGCGTGTTCTCTGCCCGTTCATGTGCCGTCTACCGCTGCACGACCCTACACTGCGTCGCCAGACAAACTGCACAGCACACTTACGTCCGCTTTCTCTACAGAACAATATGGCTTCTCTCAATACACAGTTGTTAAACACAAAAAATGGGGATAGCCTTCTACTCTATTTTCTAGTTGTACGATGTCTCTGTACAACCAGTGGCATCACAAGGGGGGTGCGGCCCGCACCCGGGTGACACCATTGAAGGGGTGACATCAAAATGACTCACAGGCATTTTGGTGTCATCCCCCTCTGAAAAGTCAGGCGCTCGGTCATGGACCGAACGCCCGACAGTATCAGGAGAGAGGAGGGGACTCGGCGGCATACCTTATCCCGCCGGGTGACTGTCCCCTCCTCTCTCTGCCGTTGTCCATCACCAAGATGGCCGCCGGCAGGTATCAGAATACTGCCGCGCGTGCGCGATGACGTCATCGCGCACGTGCGTAATAACGTCATGCGCAGTGACGTCTCGGCGGGGTGACACTCGGTTACCGCTCCGGGTGTCACCCAGCCTCGGGACGCCCCTGTGTACAACACCTGAATCACTGTCACCCAAAATGAGAAAAACTCCAAAAACTAACAGTCTGGGCGTACAGAACCAAATATTGAATACTCGCTGCGGAAAGCAGCTCTAAACAATAAAGCATGTTATTCTCGCTTGCGGAGTCCGCCTATGGAAAGTAAATATAAAAAGAAAGTTTTAAAACCGAATCCTTTCTTTTCTACCACAAACCAACAGCGATGTTATACTATACAGAACGCAACGAATGCTATAAAACCCAAAACAATGGCGGAGGGGGCATGAATTGCCCTCTGAGAAACAAAAACGTCCAAACAATAAAAATGGAAAAACACCACTAAAAGTAGACTCTCCCAGAAAAACTTCTCACAGTTAAAGTAAGTCTTGCTATATATATTGAAATTCAGTAACAAGTAAAAATTTCACTTAAACTGAAATCCAATACCAAAAACAGAAAACATAAAAATAGACTTATTGCCTTTGGAACATAAACACACCCACACACCCTGCCACTTAACATATCAATGCCTGGGTGGGTCTGCCTGAGACAGTAAACAATGCAAAGACGGTTTCTTCTCACCCAGTCATTGAAATGCCAACGTGTCCAGTGTCAAGGCAACTTTAGATTCATTTACCAAAGAAACACAATTTAGAATTTTTTTTTACTTGATTAACATTACTAAGCCAATTTCGGGTCTTCTCCTTAGAGAAAACAGAATACAAAAATTTCCCCAATACAGGTTTCTAGGGAAAGAAAAGTTAGGTTAATTTCGGTCTCCAATTTAAAAGTCCTCCATTTTTCCTGCAAAATACAAACAGTAAAATGGTTTAGAAAGACCTCAACAACATCTCTTCATTTCCCCTTCTCTTGTACACAAAATTTGAAACTCTGAGATTGTAACAGTCCGCCCAAT